AATTCTCTCATAAATTGGCTCAGAACTGGTCAGTCAATCATTAATACTCAGGGAAAACTAGAGAGGAAAACCACGGTATAGTAGCAGCATCGATCAAGGTGCAAAATGTAAAGGATGACCTCACAAAAATGTACAAACGTGGTGAAAATCGCCAGTGGTCCTCAAAAGAAATTTATTTTCTTTATTTTTTTATTTTTGTTTTTACATATCCGCGAAATTAAATAGCCGCCAATATGCCAAAAATGGCAAAATCGCCAAATTAAGTAGCGCCAAATTAACCCAATCTACAGTAACTATAAAATTGAGAGGGCTATGAAAATGTTGTTTATGCTATTTTGTTCCAACAATCTTCGGAAAGATATTTTATTTCATTCTCAAGAATTGGTAAAAAGGAACAAAAAACAATCGCACTAAAAAAATGTTAACAAAAACAGTTATATAAATTATATATAAATAATATTTGCATTAAATTGTCTTCAATCAGTCAACATCAAGTTGAGAGAAAAACATTGTTGAATTCAGTTCACCTTATCGATACCAATCCTTTACACCTATTCTAATCACAAAATGTCACAACTGTGAATGGACCTTGCTCTTATGTAATGCTGCAAAATAGTAGTGTTAACTTAATAAGTAAAGGGGCTAATTCAAAAAGGATCAAAAGCAATAATAACACAGGAATATTTCATGGAACCCAACAAATAAAATCTTGACTAAAATAATGCAATTTGTATCTTTGGCATGTTTCAGCCAAAGTGAAAACGGATCATTCTAAATTAACTATAGGTTGGAGGGGACCCCAGTACCCCCCCCCGCTTCACCAAATCCCTCCATTAACTCCATTAAACTTTTTTTTTAAATTGCAAATAATAAATTTTGGAACATAAGGTGAGAACTTCATTCTGGCTTTAATGCTTTCAAACTTTCTTGTTTTAATTATCATTATGAATTAATAAAAAAAATTAGAATTATTAAGAAGCACATTTACGGCTGCTACCCCATCCTTCTTCAAAGGACTTCATTTATGCCTAAATTCACTATTTGTAAAATACCCTTGCAGCAAGGATGTGCTACCCCTTTATTTTGAATATTGTTGATCACTCAAAATTACTGTACGCCCGGTAGTATTCGCGTGCGATTAACTTTCACGCTTTTCGCAAGGGTGTTTAAATCGCGAAAAATTATCGTTGCGAAATTGCCAATTAAATCCCCGGGAATTTGTTTTTACCCGGGGCTCTGATGCATTTCGTTTTGTCTACTAGTTTGGATCGAGTTATAGTACTTCAATAGTACTGTGCAACTCCATGACTTTACTATGCGCATGCGCGGCAATGAAAGAGCACGTGCGCACGATTGTTCACGTGATCATAGCCTGCAATTTGAATGGACATCATATACTGGGGAATCCCCCAACACGATAAAATACAGTATTCGCGAAATTTAATAGCCGCAAAACCATGTTTTCGCAAAATTCGCGAAATTAAAGCTCGCGAATAATACTGGGCGTACAGTAAACATTCTGAATCCGGCTAAGCATAAACTACATTACAATACAAATATAGAATATTCAATTATCATTTATATTTTCAGATTTTTCATTTCAATCAGCATCTTCAAACTGATCCTCTTGTAACACTGATGTTTTATTTTTGTTTCCAGAATTTGTGTTTAGGGTACTATTGAATGTTTTATCCTTATTTATTGCACTTGGTTCTGGCTGCCTTTCACTTATGGCCATGTGTCCAAAACCTGTTTCTATACTAGCTCCCTCTATATCTTGACTTGGTAGTGAACATGCTCCACTTTGGTGTTCATTTGTATCACAATTTAGGCCTAAGGGAGATGAATTTGAATTTGAGGGAGCAGAATTAGTATTTGAGGGAGAAGAATTGGTGTCCAAGGGAGCATTTAAGTCCTCCACATTGACAGGGCACTGTTCTGAATTGATCACGTTGTCTGATACATCATTATCGGCAGATTCTTTTTTAAGCAATTGGTTAGTTTCATCAACTGATTTGTCCTTTATATGTACATCATTCTCTACATCCTCTTCTTCTGCATCCTCTTCTACAGTCCCATCTTCAGATTCCTCCTCTTCTGTGTCCTCGTCTGACTCGTCCTTGTCACTGGAAATAGACAATATACATGAATATATTAAACAGTATATATCAAACAGTAAATATTAAACAGTATATATTATTAAACTGTATATATTAATATTTAACAGTACTGTACACCCAGTATTTTTTGTGTGCGATTTAGTTTCACGCTTTTCACAATTGTGATAAAATCACAAAAATTAATCTTCGCGAAGTTGTCAATTAAATCCATGTGAATTTGTGAAATTTTTTATAATTTGTGACTTCATAGCATTTTGTGTTTTGTAATATGTTTGTCAAGTGTTTTTTGGTGATAAATGGGATACTAAGCAACAATGTCTGTAACAGTGGCTTATTAGATCAAATAAACCGAAAAATTGTGATGTAATACAGCTTAATGACATAGTAGTAGGTGTACTGAGTGAATTCTGCGAAATCTTACAGTGATCTCATAAATTTTATGCCATTGTCACATGATCGAACATACTAAAAATGTGTTTTGCATCTATGAACAAGCGCCAGATGTTTTTGATACCAGATAACCCTACTATCACACCAAACTAGTTCTCACTACGTTCTCGAAAACGGGCTTCAACTGTGTACGAACGGACTGGACATACTTAGAACCGTTTTTACAAACTTCATCGAACGTACTCGAACGGGTAGGTCCTCTTGAACTTAGAACATGCTCAAAATGTTCCCGTGGTCGTCACGTTCTACAATTAGAACGAGTGACAACATACTAGCGACAAGCTGGACGTACTACGAACCAAACCGTCGTACTTCAATCCTACTAGGGACGTTTTTACGACGAGTTGAACTGTCTGAGGAGGTATTGAGAACGAGGTAGAACTAATTGCAAACGGGTTTCAACTGACTAAGAACGTACTATTAAAGACTGCTTATGAATGAGTATAGCTATCACACCAAACAAGTTGCCACTGCGTTCTTTAAAAAACTGGTTTTAAACTGTGTGCGAACGGAATGAACGTAGCTGCAACTTTCTAAGGTCTATTTACGAACTTCATGAATGTTCTCCGACGGGAAGGTGATTTTAGAATTTTGAATCGATTCAAAATTCGATGGCGACCATACCCTTCTGTAATCAGGTCATGATGACCTTCTAGACTAAGGGACGCGTTATACGATGTTGCACACCGATCGTGGTATGACCTGAACGAACTGCGAATGAGATGGACGTATTGAAGACTGTTTATAAACGAAGTAGCTAATTATTTTAGACATATTTCCCGACCACAGCCAGATTGAGCTCGTTCTACGACGTTTTCGTAGGACTGGCAAGAACGGGTAAGAACTAGTTTGGTGTGATAATGGGGTTAAATCGTTATTTGGGTCAGCTATTGCTTTTGAGGCAAGAGCTGGCAAGTTAAGGGATGCACGACAGGTAGTATTCATATTTAAATGAATTTGCCATCTAATTGCAAATGAAGCAATCAACCCGGTAGCTGATAGCCGCTATTTACATTCGCAAATACAAGCTAAGAGAAAACCACTTCTCATAATGTATTCAAGTAGATTAGCATTACACAAACACTTCCATAAATGGTTTTCATAAGCAGTTTTGTGTACATGTATTGCCAAAACTTGGAACCACTGAATTTCATCAACCTGTTAGAAAAAATTAAAAAATAGACGTTCACTCAAGTTTTCTTTGACATTGATGTTGTTTAACATCTCATTTTTTTTGGGGATGAATATCTTTGAACCCCCTTCACCTCTTAAGGGAGGTATAAATAGGGGGGGGGGGGTCACAAGGGCTTGTAGACTTCAATAGACTAGATGCGAGTAGAAATGATCTTGATTTACGTCATTAAATATTCAAAATTCAGTCAAAGTGATGTCATATTTGAAATCTACAAGTAAAAATACATCTAAAAATATGGTTTCTAAATTGTTTATCAACTTTGAAAGTTTTATATTTTTTGAAAATGTGACTTCTAGCTCGGGTTGATTCCCCATAGACCCCATATTACAAAATCACAAAAAGTGAAATATCTTTTCTTGTATTGGACATCTAACATTTTCTTTTACTGGATGTACTTTAATTTGCATAATTATTCGATACATAAGGGCTATATGAAAATTGAACCACTAAAACCTATGTAATTTAAGTTAAAGGGAACTTTCTACTATACCCGCCATGCTATCTGACCCGAGCGAGCCACCTGGTGGTGAAACTGGTTACTACCTTCTCGCATTTGCGTTATTGTTTTAATGTATTTGCATAAATTATCAAGAATATCACAATAAAATCATCTGCAATACAGAGAGACCTCAACCAATCAGAATGCAGGGTTTTCTAAAAGTGAATGATAAATAATGATATTACCTTGGTGGAAGATCATAATTCCTATTGAGATTATGGACCTCCTCATCAGAGTCTATGGCAAAAGGATCTGAAAGCATAATCATTTACAACTTACAAACAGTAAAGAAAGTAAAGAAAGGACACATATTTGGAATAGTTAAAATGAAACAATGGGTTAATATTCTCTGGAAATAGATATTAGATGATAAATGTGTTCATATTATTTTTTATTTTAGCTTCAACTTTTACAAATCAATTGCCTAAACACCCTGTAATGTGAACAACTCTTAATGTAGGCACATCTCTTTGTGGCCATTTCACATGTAAACATCTCTCACTATGAGCCAGATTCATCCTTAATGGTTTCCATAGATAAGACTGTACTGAAAGCAAAAGGTGAATTACTTGCGATCGGCCAACTGAATATCCAAGGAACACTAATACAAATCTCAAGTTACACCAAGGAAGCTCTTACACCACCCGAAAGAGTGTCGATTCATGGTATACCACTCCACATTTCGAATTCAGAAGTGGAAGGTTGGATTGCTGAGATGGTAAACATCACTTCGCCAGTACAATATGCCATGAAAGGGACAGATAAAATGAAGATAAATACAGGAAATAGATTCTGCTACGGTCATGTTAAGGATGATGTTATACTCCCTAGGTACAACCGACTGCCTCTGAACAACCCATTTGACAATGAAGCAATAATCGAGTATGAGGTTACTGTCTACATCAATTCACAGCCAATCAATTGTGCACGATGTCTTGAATTAAACCACATGAGTAGAGAGTGCCCAAGCAAGAAACCACAGTGTCGAAAATGTGGCCAGATAGGGCATATCGCTCGCCTGTGTACTCAGCAGGAGCAGGATGATGATGATGATATTGCAGAGCCCAAGCAGCCAGATGATGATCAATCACATGATGGTGAAGCAGGTACCAAATCAGAAGAAGTTGCTAGCGAGAAATCAGAAGAAGAAGAGGAGGAGGATCAGCCAGAGACAATACCAGAAAAAATCTATCCGCTTTTTGACAAAAATGTAAAGGATGCAAAGTCAAGAAATATGAATAGTGACAAAGTGAAAAAAGCAAAAGCAAAACCAGAATTGACAAACACCAAAACACCATTGAAAACAGCAAAAGACTTAAACAAAAAGAGACCACCACACTTTACACCGCCCAGTGTAGAGAAAAGTGGAAAACAAGGAAAAGTATCTTAAACAATTAGTTTAATATATGAGAATATCTTCCATTAATGTGCAAGGTTTGAGAACCAAAACGAAAGAAAGGCGTAAGTTATTTGATTGGATAAGAAAGAAAAAGATAACTGTATGTTTTCTACAGGAAACACATATAGTTAAGGAAGATATTGCCATATGGAAAACACAATGGGGGTCAGAATTGTATGCTCTGCCCCATAAGACCTCAAGTAGAGGTCAAGTTATTCTTATTGATAAATTTGAAGATGATATTACTGATGTGATTGAAGTGAAATTGAACAGTAATGAAAATAGGGTTCAAATATTAAAAATACGTAAAGGTGAAGAAAAAATCATGCTAGTTAATGTATATGCACCGAATAAAGATGCAGAAAAATTAATATTTTTTAATGAACTTAAAACTGTATTAAGAGATACATATGAGATTGGATATGATATAATTATGGGAGGAGATATGAATACAGTCCTTAACAACAACATTGATATCATTTCTGGTAATCCTCATAATGAAGATGTTATTAATAGATTAAAAAATACTGTTAAAGAATTTGCTTTAACAGATGTTTGGAGATCATTGAATGAATTTAAAAAAGAATATACGTGGTGTAAGTATAAACCAAATTTCATTGCCCGAAGATTAGATTATATTTTTTTGACACAGGGGCTAGCTTCGAAAGTAGTACATTCAGATATTTGGCCGTGTATAAAATCTGATCACAGAGCTGTGGTAGTAGATATTGAATTTTCCAATGAAAAAAGGGGTCCAGGTTACTGGAAACTTAATAACAGCAATCTTGAGGAAATAGAGTATGTTAATATGATAAATGAAACTATTGAACAGTGTACCCAACAGTATAAAAACACAGTGAACCCACAAGTTCTTTGGGATCTCTGTAAGTGTCAAATAAAACAGAAATCCATAACATATTCTAAACAAAATAGTGTTAAAAAGAAAAGTAAATATTGGGAATTAGAATACAAATTAAAGACAGCTCAAAGTAATGCATCTGTAAATCCATGTAAACAAAACAGAGATCTAGTTATCAAACTGCAAAATGAAAAGGAAATTATTGAAGAAAAAATGGCATCTGGTGCAATGATTAGGGCAAAACAAAATTGGGTAGAAAAGGGGGAGAAGAATATGAAATACTTTTTATCACTTGAAAAACAAAATTCTAAAAAGAAAACAATTGAAGTACTTGAAAGTGATGAAGGGGTAAAAACTAATGGGCTAGATGATGTAATGAATAGTTTATTTGAATATTATTCTGATTTATATGAGGAAAATGGAGATGTAACATATAGCTTAAATGAATTTCTTAATGATACTGAATGTCCATCAATAGATGAAACTGAAAGTGAATCATGTGAAGGTGAAATCACAAAATCAGAATGTGCTTATGCAAATAAACAGATGAAAAACTCAACAAGTCCAGGAATAGATGGACTTTCTCCCGCATTCTATAAAATATTTTGGTGTAAAGTACAGTGTCTTTTGGTGAATTCATTAAATTATGGTCTCATATCAGGTCATTTGTCAAATAGTCAGAAAAAGGGGATAATAGTACTATTATTGAAAGGGAAACAGTTGCCAAGAAACAAAATTAAAAGTTATAGGCCAATTACTTTAACATGCACAGATTACAAAATTGGTGCAAGTGTATTAGCAAAACGAATTCAAAATGTTATAGTAAAAATTGTACATACAGATCAAAATGCATATATAGAAAATAGGGGTATACATTTCAACCTTAAATTGATTGATGATATTATTCAATATACAGACATAGAAGATCTCCCAGGTGCTATAATTGCATTAGACTACTCGCGTGCATTCGATTCTATATCTAAGGGGTACATCAAGGAGGTATTTGAAAAAATTAATTTTGGTCCAGATATGAAAAAATGGATAAATATTTTTAATAGTGATAGTAATTTAGCTGCTGTTTCAAATAATGGTTATTTCACAGATTGGTTTAGGTTAAAGGCTGGACTGAGACAAGGGTGTCCATTGAGTGCAATAATATTCATCATTGCTACTGAAATGTTTGCTTGTAAAGTACGCCAAAATCAAAACGTTGAAGGGTTAAAATTGCCAAATGATAAAGAAATTAAGTTAACAATATATGCCGACGATACAACAGTATTTGTCAAAAACAAAGACTCTTTAATTGAACTCTTAAAAGTAATTGATGATTTCTATAAAGTTTCTGGATTAAGGTTGAATATGCAAAAATCAGAGGCAATGTGGATAGGAAGAAATAAAAACTCTCTTGAATCACCTGCAGGATTAAAATGGCAATTAGGTAAAAATGCAAAATTGAAAATTTTAGGGGTACTTTTTAGAAACAGGGGATCTGCAGCTTCTATTCAAGAAAACTGGAATAAAAAAATCACTAAAATGAACAAGATAATTAATCAATGGTCACACAGAACTTTATCCATTGTTGGCAGAATTAATTTAGTGAAAAGCTTAGTAGCATCTCAATTAACAAATTTATTAATGGTTTTTAAGGCACCTGACTCGGTCTTGAAAGAGATTAATAATGTTTTATACAAATTCATCTGGAATTTAAAACCGCATTATCGTGGAGGTGAACGGATCAAAAGAAAAATACTAAGACAAAGCATTGAAAATGGTGGGTTAAATATGGTTGACATTTTTCTGTGCAAAGTGCTGCACTATTGGTCTGGGTATCACGTATAAAAAATGTTAAAAATTATGAGTCAAGCTGGAAGCATATGTTCCTTTACTTTATAAAAAGAATGGGACATGTAGATATATTTGACTACAATATAAAATATGCAGAGTTGAAACCAAAATTAAAACAGGATGAAATGCCATCATTTATGTTGAACTTGTTAAACAATGGTTAGACAATAAGATTTACATAATGAATTAAACAATGATGATATATTATGGAATAACCACAGTTTGAGATATGGTAGAAAGGTTATATATTTTGAAGAATGGGTTAAAAGGGGTATAAAGAAACTTAGACAGATTATTGATGAAAATGATAAAATAAAGGAGTTTGAGGAAATTTTAAATATCATAGGCCCTAGACCAGAGTTAAGAATGCAATATAATTTGTTAAAATCTTTATTGTATAATAAAACCATTGTTCACAAAAGCAATGAAAATATGTATAATAATATTGTTATAGCAACAGCAAATTAAAAGACTATAAAAATATAATAATAAAAATCAGACAGAACTACCTAATATTCCTGAAAAATGGAGGGAAGAGGGTGACATAGATATGAAATTGATATTTAGAACAGTTCAATGTCTGAAGGAGCCAAGACTTAGGTCCCTTTATTATAAGATAATTTATAAAATATACCCAACAAATGAACTACTGTATAAGATGAAAAAGAAAGATGATAATGAATGTGAAAAATGTAAATTAAGAGACACATACAAGCATTCTTTGTTGAGTGTCCACATATTAAACAGGTTTGGGAATTAGTGAAAAAATATTGTCAAGATAAATTTAACAAAAATATTGATCTGAGTCCAACAGAAAAATTGATAGGGACAAAGGATCAAAAAATTAATGTAGTTATATCAGTGGCACATAATGTTATAAGCAAATACAAAAAGGGAAACCATCCAAATTTGGAGTTTTATTTAAACTTTGAAATATTGATTAGAAAAATGTAAGTGTTACACAACCTGTTGCTGTTGCTAGTATTGTATTATGTTATTTGTATACTTGTATCTTGCATTAGGAAATAATAATAAAAAAAAAAAAAAAAAAAAAAAAAGACTGTACAGTGTATGTACATCATGCAGGCCTGAAGCCAGGAGGGGTCAGCCCAGCCAAAATTTCTTTCAAAATCATGCAGTTTTCACCATTCTGAGCACTTATGAAGTGATTATGACCTCTTTTGTGCCAGAATCTTCAAAAGTGAACCCCCCTAGAATTTTTCAAAAAGTGAACCCCCCATTGGCAAATCCTGGCTACGGGCCTGTTATGAATAAAATACTCTCCGCGAAACATAAATTTTATGCCAGTTACTATTAAATAAGTACCTTCAAGCTTTGCAGCTTGGCTCTCCTCTGCTATGGTTTCCAGGTATTTCTTCTGTGCTTCTACTACATCTTGGCTGCTCTTGCAGGCAGCATAAAGATCTAATAGCTCCTTGTTCAGTTCAAAGAACACTCTGCCCCACTTGAACTGCTTCAGTAGAATGTCTCCAAGTTGTTTTTCCCCTATAATGCAAATTATACAGTAGGTTCACTATTTAACATGTTAATGTGGGACATATTTTTCACTACATGAATTATTCATGACCCCTACATCACAGGTATTACTGTACTACTACTTAGTTTGGCAGCCATTTTAATTTAGTGGATCCACCAATTGTTAAGTCTGCCAAATTAAGTAGCCACCAAATTCAATATTTCATATTTCAATCATAAACATGTTTAGTATATACATTTTAATATTGGTATCATGGCCAAGGTACTTGGCTATATGTATAAGCAAGCTCAGTGGTATACTCCACTCAATGTGGATCCTAAAATGCTCACGTTATGTTGAGGTCTGGCTAGTGCCCATGCATATGAAAGGTTTTAGGCTACTCAGAATGATCAAGGGTTTTAATTTTAGTGGCAATAAAAAGGTTGTTTTTGCCAGATAGCACAAAGAATCACATTTTGTTTCGTGGAATTTGAGTTACAATTCCCAATAATTTATCCCATTCTTGTCATCAATTTTTCCAGATAAAAGAAATTCTAATGAGTATAATATTCATGATTCTGATTATGGATAAAGATATAAAAGACTGGATACTAGACAGGCTAGATATGGAAATTAGCCGATGGGTTTGGCTTAAATAGTCTTTCAATATCTATTTGACTGAACCTGCCCCAAAATAGTAAACTATAGGTGGTATCTCTCCAATCTAAATATCCCATTTGAATCTCAGATTTGCTTGCTAGAGCCCCCTTCTCCTCTACTCTCCCATTGTATATACCTATTATGTAGAAAATAGCTGCATAGGCCTCAACACAAGACAGTTTACAAGGACGTCCATAGTTGATGGGATTGGCTGCTACGAGATACGGCAGGAGTCTTGGGTTACTCCCTTTCATCTTGGTGAATGGTGTATCTTCTAGCTTAGCCCAGGAGCAATCTATGACTGCTACACCATATTCATTGATGATTGGTCTGTAATTGTATTTTCACATTTTGCATATTATTAAGAGAATAAAATAATATTTTATTATTACATTTTGAGCTCTTTTTATTAATATTACATAAAATTAGAAAATAATGTTGCGAATTGTTAAGCTATACCACGTGTCAGTTAAATGTAATTCATTTTGGGTTTTTAAATTAAATTGGATGCATCTGAATTTTATCAAACAAATCATTACTCAGGTACTAGTATATTCTATTTTTGGTGACTTGATAAAAACGTACTTGTCAGATGGAGAAACACACTTGGTACCCATGGGAGACAGGATTATACCATTAAACCTTTGTGTTAATTTCAAAGTTCGGACATATCCTAGACGGGCCAATTTTCTGCCACTACATTTCTTAGGATCACAGTGCTCGAGGTCCCACATGGCTATATCACAGGGAAAGTTTTCTGGATAATAGTAGGCATCTTTGTTTGCATCATCAGAATCACAATCAGAACCTGAAAGGAGATTTGGAAAAATAACAAGTGAAGGTACAAGAGTTCACAAGGCAAGTGAAGGTACAAGCATTAATGTCAAATGCAAGTACAAGAGTATACAAGTGAAATGAAAGTAGGAGACTTCACAAGTCAAGTCAAAGTACACAATTAGCAATACACATTGGTCAATTAATGTAAAAGAATTACACAAGTCGAGTGAAGGAACAAGAGTATTTGATATGACTTATACATATCAGAATAAAACACAGGGATTTATATTTAGTGTAAGGCTGCAATATAGTAGAGGCCTTAGGAAAAAGTCAGTTATGCTCTCTGTAAAATTAGCTCTAATGAAAGATGTCTCCAAATACAATCACACATACTAGTATTCTGCATGAAAAAAATGTAAATTCTGCGCAGAAATTGCCACTTCAGAATTTGAATATTGCGAGTTTGATCTCATTACATCATAAAAGCATGTTCTCCAGGACAACCTTCATTAGTGCAAAGTGGTCAGCATGCCAAGACTTCTGCGACTCAAGTAATACCAAACCGGTGAGAGTCTAAGGAACACTCGAACGAAAAATTACTTTAGTATTTACCCTGGTTTCTGGTACTGAATGGTTAGCAAACCGATCTTCACTGTATTTTTTCAGTCTGGCTGTATGGCGACCTGAGCCCTTTCCACCCCGGTTACTGGCTCCACGTCCACGACCTCCTCTTGCACCTTTTGGCATGATGACTCTGAAATAAAAAATGATGTTATCTATAACATTAACAATAATATTTTGATTATTTTGATTATTGTCTCATTACTGTTATACAGGTTGGGGGTTACTCCCGTCGAGAGCTACTTAGATTTTGAAAGTATAGCTCTCTATCGCTAGGATCAACAGCTTAAGAATCCTGACTTCAAAGAAAATTTCAGGGAATTCAGCTGACTCATGTTGCACATTATATACCTGAAATGTATCCTACATCGCCTCTTTCATTCAGCTCAACTATAGAACGTCTCACTGCCCTATGTATCGATCAGGACTTCATTTTATTGGTCGTGTCAAAAGTTTTGGCCAGGTATATTCAATATGGCGGCTTGACGTTTCCCAAGTTGCGCATGCGTCGATAGTATTTCCGTTTAACCGCCATATTGGAAATGGGTATCGAACAAAAAACGATTAGAACTCCTGATCGCCATAGAAGCACATCCGCGATCCTACATGCACGGGGAAAGTAGACACATATGAGCCCATATGTAGGCTACAGTTTGAGACAAACAGCAAGCCGTTGACTGGCGCTGATCAAATTAAGATGTTACAATTCTTCAGCTGGGAGATCCTCACGATGGAGAGCTATACTTTCAAAATCTAACATGGTAGCTCTCGACGTGAGTAAGTTGGGGTATTTATTTTTTAGAAAAATCTAGGTTAGATCTACAGTAACTTGAATGATGATTGATCTAGACTTGATCTCTGAAATTAATTTTGTTTCAGTGAAACAAAATTAAAAATTGACATTTGTTTAGATCTACTTTCTCAGGCGAGAAAGAAGAAAATATCAAATACACTAACTACTACCTCATTTAAATTTACTTTATTGTGTTAAATTACCTTTGTAGTGTGATGTTGACGGTCAGAAATTATGAAAAATTTGAAAAATGAAAGAAAAAATGTGTTTCAAGAAATCTTATCCGCCATTTTGAACCTCGTATA